TTATATTTTATCCAGAACTTTTTTAAGTACTATATTTCTCAAGGATTGCTCTGGTCACCAAGACCACCATATTGTTAGAACTGAAAATCTAGTTTTGTGACTTTAAAAGTCATAGCTGTCAAAAACGGAATCTAACATATAATTTAAAAATACAGAAAAAATCCCACCCCACAACAACTTCTATTTCTGAGTTCCACACTCTCCCTTCACACAAACATAAACTATAGTTTAAATGAGTACTTAATTATACACTGGTAACGTTGCTAAAGAACTTGGCAGACATTCTACTTTTAGAAGCACTCCACACAGATTTATATATCACATTTTACATAATGAAGACTTCTTTCCCACCTCTTACTAAAGCAAAGTAATAATAATGATAATAATAAGCTTCTTAAAAGAAGGATGGGGATATATCAGGAAGGTTTAGTGAGCTGAGACAAGGAACAAGTCAAGGGTGTTGCAAGTTAAAGGGTGGGTGGTGGATACACTTCAGATACAAGGTAAAACACTTAAGATTTTGTAGCCCAAATTAGATCATATTAGTGTTTAAAGCTTCTCAGATTCCCTGGATTGTTGAAGGAAAGGCACAAAAACTAAATGTATGTCTGAACTGAACTGCCTCTCCCCTGTATTGCACCCAGGTTGGGTTTCACATTTGGCTGTGCTCTCTTCCTCAATCTCCAAAATAAGGTATAATTTAGACTACTGTTTGAGTACATGGGCAATGTTTCTTATTTTTTCTTCTGGTTGAAATTAAATAATCAGAAAGACAGAGCTTCATGCTTCTAAACCTGGTTGCTATTTGGTTTCTGTTTCTGAGAATACTGACTTGCTCAAGAAAGCCTTGGGCCCTTTCATGAGCATATACTAATCTGATTCATTCTGTCTGCAAGCTTAGGCATGTGGCAAGATGTCCCCTTTACAAAAACTATCTCCTATGCAAAACATATGCAACATGGAGAATATTTCCTTTGCATTGATTATGGCAGAAGTGGTTCTATGCTTCTATGTTCCGAGTCTAGAAGACTGATAGCTTCTGTCTGGTTCTCTTGGATATCTGAGCTAACTGGAAAATGTTCCATTATTTTGCTAGAGAGATAGAACCAAAAAACCCTATGAATTCATTTATCGGAAGAGGTTCTATGTAGGATTGGCCTTGAATACAACAGCCATATACATGAAGCCATCTTGGACACTTCAAACTCACCTGCCAGTTAAAACAGCAATGAATGATTCCAATGGAAACCACATGGAACAGAAAAATTACTCATCTAAACCCTTCCCATATTCCTAACCCACAAAATTATGTAACTAAATGAAATTGTTATTTGAAAATAATTTAATAGCAACAAATGAATGAAGTGCTTATTAAGCTGAACTTACACCCTTTGTCAATAGTTAGAAAATATAATTATTTTGGATATGGAACTTCTCTTCACATTTACATTGTTGAGGAGTGAACTAAAAATTGGACATTTAGAAATTTGTGGGTTTTTTTTTTTTTTTACAAAGACATGATGATCATTTTTACTTCAGTAAAGTGGTCAGATTTGAGGTGTACTATATTCAGGCCTCATCTCCTTAGGTTTCTGCTGTTAAGTTGAGCTGTTTAAGGGAACTGGAAAACAAGTAAATAAAGAACATCGGAGAACTGTTTCAAAAATAATTTTTGGTGTGGCTACTCATACGTAAAACTGATTACAAGTAAAAAATAAGAAAGCTAATCAGATTTTGAAAAAATTAAGTTGCAAAGAACATTAGCCTCATCTGAAAGTTCTGTTATTGTTTTGGCAAGTCTTAAAATAACTCTCAATAGGAAGTGGGCTGCAGAAGGTGCACAGGTCCCAAAAAGGACATATACCCCTATAGCTATGTCTGATATGCCTGGAAAATAATAAATGTGGAGAGCCACTCAGAGACTTGCTTCTTTTCCTCCGAAAGTTTATAGCTTTTGATCTTTTAGGAGAAGATTCCTTAAATGTCGATTAATTCAAGCTGATTATGTTGAGCCCACTATATATTTACTGAATTGTTTACTTAGTTGTTCTGCCAATAACTGAAGGAGGGGAATGAACATTAACAAGTTTAATCGTAGATTTTTCTATTTCTTCCTTTGATTCTGATAGCTTTTGCTGCATGCCTATTGAAGCTCTCTTATTAGGTATATTCACATTTAGTATTAGTATATTTTCCTAGGTAACTTCCTTTTATCATGATGGGACGTTCCACCTTATTTTGGGTAATAAGCCTTGTCTTAAAATATACTTTGTTTAGTATTTTTTCTTTTTGTTAAAGTATACATGCCATATTTTTTTCTATTCTTTGTTTTCAATTTCATGTAGACAGCATATAGTCCAGTTTTGACTTTTTTTAACTCTTAATTTTAAATTTTTGAGCCTATCTGAAGCTTTCTTCCTTTAATTGGAAAGTTTGGTCCATTTATACTTAATTAGATTACATACACACTTAAATTTGTGTATCCCATCTTAGTATTGATATTTTTCAGCTCCACATGTTGTTTCTCTTTTCCTCCTAGGAAAAGAGCTAGATTTTTTTGTTTATTTAAAAAAATGTGATAAGATTTAACTTTTTACTTCATCATGTCACATTCTCTCATTTAACACATTTCCTCTAGTTTTATGTCAAAAACATCAATTTAGCCATCCTGACATATATGTCAATGGTATATGGCTGAGGGAAGACACTGCCACCATTAGTCATCCTGCTTCGCAATTGTTCTGCACATGTGTCAACATCCTTTGCCTACATTGATAAAGCAGGTGCTAATGCCATATATTGTCAAAGTCAGTGGGTCGATTCATCCAATATCAGGAAATATATCATCAAATGCCATGTGTAATCCAATGCAGCCATATGACTAGAGTCTAGTATTTCTGTTAAAGAAAAAAAAATGCAGTTAATCTAATATGGTTTATTTCTGAGGCTTTATTCTCTTCTTATTCAATATATCCCCCAAGGGCCATTTCATCTTTTTCCCATAAATTCGGTTTTTCTATAAATTAACTCCTGTGTGTACTACTCTTCTGGATAATTCCCTCTCATTTTTATCCTGCTTATCATTTCCACAGCCCCTACCATCATGCGGACCATTTCTTACCTATATTACCTTAGCCACATCTTCACATGCATCTCCTCTCCATTTACCAGCTTTTACCCCACCAGCATTAGCATCACCTGGAACTAGATAGAAGCACAAATTCTCAGGCACCACCCCAGAGTTACTGGTCACCTTGGGGTGTGATCTGGCAATCACTGATGATTTGAAAGCACACTCAGGTATTAGTACCACTGCTATTCAGTAAAGATGATTTCACATTTTCTCCTACCAACATGTAAATATAACACCAATTGCCTTTTCCCACTAATGCTGCTGATTGAACAAGAATTATACTACTCCACAGAAAATCTGGAATATTCTTTTAATCTTTATCTAAATTATCACTTACAGTTTTGAAGTAAATTCAATTTTATCTTTGTTTCTTTTGCAAACACTAGCCAAAATGAATGAATCAGCACCTGAGTATACCTTGCCACCAAAATTGACAAGAGATGATCTACTCTGACAGTCTGTACACTATGATCCATAGGCCAAATCTAGTCTATTCCTTGTTTCTGTAAATAAAATTTTATACAACACAGTCAAGCTTATTCTTTTTTTTTAATGGCTGCTTTTGATTTACCCTAGCAAGGTTGAGCAGTTGTAACAGAGACCATATAGTCTGCAAAACCTAAAATATCTGTCCTTTTACAGAAAATGTTTTTTTATCTCTAATTGACATTGTTGCCAAGTATTAATTCATCACATATTTATTAAACATATACTATTTTTAAAGATTTATTTATTTATGATAGAAAGAGAGAGAGAGGCAGAGACACAGGAGGAGGGAGAAGCAGGCTCCATGCCAGGAGCCCGACGCGGGACTCAATCCCGGGACTCCAGGATCGTGCCCTGGGCCAAAGGCAGGCGCCAAACTGCTGAGCCACCCAGGGATCCCTAAACATAACTATTAATCAGGCACTGGTTCAGGCACTGAAGTGAACAAGGGCACAGTCCTCTGCAATCATGGAACATATATCATAATAAGGGAGGGAGGCTGAAAATAAAAGTGTACCAGTAAATAATTAATAAGATAATTAATAAGATAAGAAGGTCATTGTGCTGCGAAGAAAACAAAGTGGATGCAGCAATAGAAAATGACTGTCCAGGAGATAGCACCATTGAGTTAGATGTCAGGAGGCCTCTCTAAGGAGATGGCATTGAGCTAAAACCGCTATGAAAGATGAAATTAAAAAAAATGTGCATAGTTCATGTGAAGAAAATGACCTTGATTTGTCCTAAAAACATAAAAAAGGCCAGCATGGCTACAGCAAAGTAGGTAACTGGGAAGATATGGGACCCTGCATAAATATTTGCAAGACTCTTGATCGATAACAAATTGTATTTTTTTTCATTTCCACTGAGTCTCATAGAAGGAAGTGATATTGATTAAAGATTGCTTACTATTCTTTTGTGTGTTAATGATTTATGTTGGTTGCACTGCAAGCATAAATGATTTTTATATCAATGGTGAGAAAATTAGGAACTTCTGATTAAAAATTTTTTAAAAAGAGCAAGATTAATGTCCTCTTTAGATGCAAGGTTGAAATATTGCTCCTTACTCATCTCTACCTTGATCAGGCTGTTTAAGGTGGCATCATTAAGTCAGACCTTAAAGTTTTCCACTTCCCTAAACCTAGTGATGTGAAAAAGTACAAAACAAAACTCAAAGACTATAAATAATCAAGCAAGGGAAAGATACAATAACTTGAACATGAACAAGAAATAAGTTCAAATATATATACAAATCTCCTTTTATGTTTTTTATAGGAAAAATGTTGACTGTAGGTGCACAGTGGGGGATGGTGGTTTGTTGGGAAGAGGAAAATGTGTTAATGAAACACTAAAAATTCAAACTAAGCATCCACAAGTTAGATGTTTGCTTTAGCAGCATATATACTAAAATTATAAAGATACAGAGAAGATTAACAGGCTCTGGTGCAAGGACAATATTCAAACACATGAAGTATTCATAGTTTTAAAAATGGGCAAAGAAGATGTATAGAGATCTCCCCCCAGAATGATATACAAATGTCTGACAAGCATGTGAAAAGATACTCAATCATTAGGTAATTGCAAATCAAAGCTATAATAAGCAGTCACCTCATGACTCTTGGTTACTGTTGATGGGAATGAAAAAGGGTGCAACTTCTTTTCTGGCTAATAGCATGGGATTTTCTCAAAAAATTGAAATAGGACTACTAAATGATCCAGCAAGTCTACTAAATCTAAAAGAACTGAAAGCACAATCTAGGAGAGATATTTATACACCCACATTCAGAGCAGCACTGTTGACAATAGAGTTGAAGTTGAAGCAATCCAAGCATCATCAATGGATGATTGGATACATAAAATGTTGTTTATACATACAGTATAATATTATTTAGCCCTCAGAGAAAGGAAGGCAACTTTGATACACGTTTCAATGTGAGATGAACCTAGAGGACATAATGCTAAGTGAAATAAGTCAGCCACAAAAAGATACATGTTGCATGATTCCACTTATATGAGGTATTTTGAATAGTCCAATTCAGAGACAACAAGTAGAATGGTGGTTGCCACGGGCTGGTGAGAGGGGAGAAGAGGAGTTATTGTTTAGTATATATAAAGTATTGATTTTACAGAACAAAAGGGTTTATAAGGATGGATTGTAGTGATGGTTACACAACCATGTGAATAAATTTACAGAGTTGAGATGATAGGGCAGCCCCAGTGATTCAGCGATTTAGCACTGCCTTCAGCCCAAGGCGTGATCCTGGAGACCCGGGATCGAGTCCCACGTGGGGCTCCCTGCATGGAGCCTGCTTCTCCCTCTGCCTGTGTCTCTGCCTCTCTCTCTCTCTCTCTGTGTGTCTCTCATGAATAAATAAATAAAAATCTTCTAAAAAAAGAGTTGAGATGATAAATATTATCTTATGTATATTTTACCAAAATAAATGTTTTAAAGGATATCAATAACTTGTAGGAAAAAAAGAAGACATGGTGTCAACAGATTAGAACAGAGCTTGGGGTATTTGTAGATCAGAGTAGGTATTGTTGACTTGTTAATATTACATGAAAATGTCATGCAGATAGAATTTCTCGCTCTTCAGTTGGGGGTGAAAGGATGAAGAACATAGAAAATCTTGCCCTATAAAACTGCTCAGATTGAAAAAAACTAACTTAAAAATGAGTTCCCTTTTAAGAAAGGGCCAGTGTGAAGTAATTTTACATAGATTCTTTTGTTTTCTCCTTTTCAATGTGTTGAAAAACAGAATATAGAAATTAGCAAAAGGTTGATCATGGCTATTTATGACTTGACTCTGCTCTATGTTTGAAATTAAGTTCATGTTCGTATTTATTTGAAACATCATTATCAGTATCATTTTACTTTTATTTTTTTTATTTTAAAGATTTTATTTATTTATTTATGTGAGACACACACACAAAGAGAGAGAGAGAGAGAGAGAGAGAGAGAGAGAGGCAGAGACACAGGCAGAGGGAGAAACAGGCCCCATGCAGGTAGCCTGACGTGGGACTTGATCCCGGGTCTCCAGGATCAAGCCCTGGGCTGAAGGAGGCGCTAAACCACTGAGCCGCCCAGGCTTCCCCTATCAGTATCATTTTAAAGATGAACAAACTGGGATTCCTGGGTGGCTCGTGGTTGAGCATATGCCTTTGGCTTAGGTGGTGATCCCAGGGTTCTGGGATCGAGTCCCACATCAGACTCCCTGCAGGGAGCCTGCTTCTCCCTCTGTCTCTGTCTCTGCTTCTCTCTCTGTGTTTCTCATGAACAAATAAAGAACATCTTTAAAATAAATTATAAAGGTTAACAAACTAAAGGTGAAGAGCCTGAAGAACTGTAAGTGGTAAGAATTTCCAGTGGAGTTGAATAATGATCTATTCCTGTCTGGATCTAAAACTTAAGTTCTTGGTAGTGAAACACTATATTTCTTTTCTGTAACTTCTATTAGAACCCAATTTCTCTATGCATCCACATAGACTTTGGAAATGTAGAGAATAAAAGGTGGCAATTCACAGGAAGCCGCTATTTATAAACTCACAAACCATCTCCTTTCCACATGACCCACCCAGAGAATTAATTTCTTACTGTCTTCCTCAGCATTGGCTGTAGTCAAAGACTTCGTAAATGGCTAAGCTACGGGAGACAAATCCCTGCTTTGGGTCACAAGAAGATGTAGATTCATTACCTAGCTCTGCTATATGCCAAGTACATTAATGTGGGCAAGATTCAATCGCTGCAATTAAGTTTCCTCATCTGTAAAATTATTTCGTCTACCTCATAATGTTGTTGTAACAGTTAAGGGAAATAACATATGTGCAAGTACTTTAAACAATAAAATTGCATATAAGTGGAGGCTATAATTGTCATCTAAGTCCCTGTAAATCCAGGAGGAAGGATCTTAACCACCAGTTAGAGATTACAAAGAAAACCTTTTAAGAATCCTAAAAAATAGGATCTTTCAATGTATTACCTATTGCAATAAAGCATTCAGAGATTAAAATATGAGAATATTCCTTTAATAATTTATTTTGAGAATAGTAGAGAAATAGAGCTTTTCTGTCACAGAATATTTAGTGTTCTGTCTTAATTTCTTATCAAGAAAGTACATTTTCTTTATTTTATGCATAAGAAATTATGATTTGGAATCATAGAAACCTACAGTGGGGTTTATAAATCTTTTATTTATGTGTAAAAATTAAATAATGAAAATCTTGATTCTGAGAGATTAAGTATTGTTTAATGATAGAAGATTAGGGGCCAATCTAAATTCTAATAATGTCTGTAGATGATTTTGATCAAATTCTTAAATGTTTATAACCTCCTTTTTCTATCTGTTAAAATGAAGAACAATTTGTTTGGGTTAGTTTGGGCTCTCTACAAACAGTACCTGAGACATGGATTTGGATACAATTCATTTGAAAGGTAATCACAGAAAGCAGAGTGAAGAAAACAGGACAATGAAATAATAAAGGAAGAAAAGGTAATGAAAGATGCATCTCTAAACTAGCTTCTCTGGTGGACAACTAAAGCTCAGTTGCTCTGGGGATTGTGCAAGGAACTCCATAGAATTCATCTCAAGATGATCTGTCCAAAGGGAAGAAAGCTGAGGTAATTATCCACTGACTCCTGTCCCTCATTGGTTAAGGACTGCTCCCAACCTGCATGGCTTTAAGGCTTTAGAGGAACTCTGAGAGGCAGGAAAGCAGAGAGTCACGGAACCATGCATTTGTGGGAGGTGGGTGCGGGCCAAGTGCACTGCAAACAAGTAAGCACAAGAGAATGTTTTGTACCTTATTAGTTGCTGCGATGACTACGTAAATAGATATGGGTGTACTTAGAATGGTGCTTCAAATATTGTAAAAACCATAAATGAGAGCTGATGTTTTTATTAGACTAAGAGATTTGTTTATAGACACTACTAATTGGTTGGGATTTTGCTCCGGCCCCCTAATGCCTACTCTTTTTTTTTTTTTTAATGTATGCATTCTCTCCTGTACTCTGTTACTAAGTATATCTTTCCATGATTTGCATAGGTATGTCTCTGTCAATATGATCAGTCTTCTTTTCTCCTTAGCAGTTTATACAATTTATTATCTCATCTATGAGGTCCTATTTAAATGGCAACTCATTGGAAAACAAGATCAAGTGGTTTGTTCAATCTTCTGTAATTGTGAGGACCTAGAAAAATTTTATGGATAGGAAGATGTTTAATAAATATTATGCTTTTCAACTTGGTTATAAAGTGAATGTCTTTCAATTGCCCTCACCACTGAGTTTTACCACTGTTTAAAACACATGGCCTTATTACTTCAATGAAAATTCAAATTCATAGCTCCCATTAGCATTGCAGACAATTTCTGGCCTACTTTCCCTGGATATTAATGGAAGTTTAGATCTTTTAATGAGCTTAGTACAGAAAAAATTTTGGTATTCACATAAACTACTGCCCCTCTCTTAGCCTAGGGCTACAGAGAAAACAGTCACTATGTTGGTCAGGTAACTTCAAAGATACTTAACTGTTAGAAAAGCCACTAGTTACTGCATAAACAACAAACGCACAGTCATTTTTGGTGCATTTCAATGCCAAATTTAACTTCCTGGACACAACTTTTACTTGGTCTCCTCTTACCTCCCTGATACATCCGTTTCCTCCTTATTTCATTGTTTTTCAAATTTCCAGATAACATCAGGGCTCAGCATTTGGAAAGATTCTCTTCATCAATCTCCATGCACTTGTCAGCCAAATCTTCCCTCCTGAACTTCAGGAACATGTAACTGATTATGTGTACAATATCACAACTTTGATACTGTGATAGATTAAACTATTTTTAAAAAGCCACTGATTCTACTCTGGCTTTATATGTATTTTTTTCATATATATATATATATATCTTTTCAATGTGATATTGATAGTCCTATCAAGAGGTTGAATCTTCTTTGCCCCATCGAATCTTGGTTGAATCTATAACTTATTTCATTGATCTCTTTCATGTAGCGAAAGTGATATTGTGTAAGTTGCAAGCCAAAACTCAAAGTAACTTGCAATTTTCATACTTTCTTATCTTGCCCTGAAATTTCCACATAGAAGAGTCTAGGATGGGGGTTCCTGGGTGGCTCAGTTAGTTAAATGTCTACCTGTGGCTCAGGTCATGATCTTGGTATCCTGGGATCTAGCCCTGCATCAGTGGGGGAGGGGAGGGACTGCTCAGCAGGGAGTCTGCTTCTCCCTCTCTCCCTCCCCCTCCCCCTTGCTCATACTATCTCCCTCCCTCTCTCTCTCTCTCTCTCTCTCTCTCTCACTCAAAGTAAAAAAAAAAAAAACAACAAAAACAAAAGCCAAAAAACAAAAACAAAAATAAAAACCTAGGATAGTGTATCAGAGGACAAGATCGTGTGGAGGAGAATGATCTATCCCATCTGAGACACCATAGGTCAACTATCCTGCAATTAACCCACTAGGTTATTGTAGTTACAAG